AACTCAAATTAGAGATAGTGATAGCTACAGTGACTAAGGTCTGGGATGTTTTATTTTTTGACCGGCCTCGTTTCATCTCTCGATCCAAATATTTATTACCTCAAATGCAGAAACAATGGCCCGTAGTAAACCCCCCATCAGGGCATCTTTCTCGACGCGGACCGGCGTTGATCTCATCACGCCTCAGTCTAGCATCCGGCGAGCCATTGATCTGGATGCGGATCGCTTCCGAGGCATCACAATCAAGTGCCTTCTCGAAAAGGTAGACACTTGATCTGGTTTGGTCGAGCAGGTAAGGGACTGAAATTGAAAGCGCGCGTCCATGGTTCGACACCGGCTAGCGCCACGTTTTTGCTGTATTGCAGGGCGTCTTTGATAGCGACCACTATCGGAAAATCGATGATGACCGCTATCAAGGATTTCGCCTAGAAAAAACATGGATGACACAAAAACGCATTTTTTGACGAAAATTTTATGGAAAATTGAAATAACTGCAACATAAATCCAACGAAATAAATCTACAAATTCTTGCCTTGAGCAGTTTGTCAAAGAAAGAAGTCAGTAAAATCTACAAAAAAGAAAAAGAGGTTTTTTTCTTTTCCTCGCCAAAATCAGCTGTTCATCGATCCTCTCCTTTTCGGGCGCGGTTGTGCAGTTTTGCGCCGATTTTTTCTGCATTTTTTGGCAAAGCTGTGTGTATCGTAAGTTACTCAGGAGCAACTTATGTTAGATGCAGTCACCTCTTGTCTGCGTCTCCTCTTCTACACACTATTTGGATCACTCTAACATCCGTTCACGTTGAGGTGACTTGAACGTGAACTGATGTGGAAGAGTTGACTGCGGCAGGTGGACAGATGGTCAACTATCAGTTGACTTGACCATTTTATAGCATGGGAACGTGGACTGTGATCAGTTCACCTCACCTAAGGTGAACTGATGGGATAAGTTGAGTTCACCTCAACTGATCGAGCTTTACTACGGGCCAATATCTTTATTGATCAGATCATTCAATGAGACAGCAAATCAATCTAAAATGGTGTTTCTGGTCGAGTCTCAATCCATTTCTTGAGAGCAGGATTAGAGCGAACCTTCTCAGCATGTGCTTTGATCTGAAAGTGGCCAATGTGCTCTTTTGCCAACGTGAACTCTAGATTGAGTCTTACCTCAGGATATCCCTCAAGAAGATTAGGAACCTTTTTCGACATTTCCGAGGAAAACTCAGCAAGGAGCAAATCGGGAATGGTAATTGAACTGCCGACGAGGTAACCTGGAAGTCCGACTTGTAGTAGAATTGGTTAGAGCTTGCTATAGCCCTTACCAGTATTGTTCTTTTTCAGGAATTTCGTCATGAAGCCAAAGAACTTATCGCGTCCTGGCAGCAACACTTCTTTGATGAGTTTGTCCTGAAAGATAAGGGTGATTTAGTAGCATGAATTTCTTTAGACCAATTTTCAGTTATCCATAGTCGAGTTCTCTGCCAAGTTCGACCAAATTGCTCTATTTTATTCAAGCGTGGAGAAGGGGGGGGGAGGTGTTAGGGGGGAGGCTTTCACTATATTTCTCCGTATCCAAAAAATGTCGAGGCATTTTGACAATACTTTTTGCGTAGGAGATGGTCAGTAGGTGAGCGAAATGAGAGTAGTTTTATTGAAGTGCGTAAAGGACCTTATTCTTCACAGGACCTTTGTTGCCTTAATCCATTCAGTTCAAGCTTCAGGCGCCATAACGTACAAAATGTCAAATGGTAGATTTGGAAGGCGGCTTTAACGAAACAGCGACAGGCAAATGCAATACTAAAGAAACTCATTTAGAGCCAAATGAATGCTATTTTCGATTTGAAAGATGGGGGCAGCTAATATTTCCAAATTAGCTGAATATTTTAGGAAACACATAAGAATGTGAAATGATTGCTTTCAGACTTTTTGAAAAATTAATCCCTCATCTACTTCTAAATTCTTCCTATCAATCTCTTCTTACCTTATCACCTTCAGCAAAACCAAGCATCACCATGAATGCCGGTCTGACTTCATTCTGGAAGTCTTTGAATTGATCCATAAGGGAGTCGACCTGCGCTTCCTCGAACGGGCACTTGGGAGTAAGTCCTAAGTAGATATTTCAGTTTAGTGGTAGAAAAACAGAAGATTGTCGCTATGAAAAAAATTAACTCACCAAACTTCTTTGCGAGGAAACGAGCGATGGCAAAGGACTGTGCGAGCTGTTGTCCATCAACTTCTAGCACTGGCATTTGGCCAAATGGCATTTCTAAAGCAAAAAAATTAATTAATGAAAACAAATTCAGATAGACAAAGTCTATGATGTTATAGTTGTAGCTGAGTCATAAAAGTGCAAAGAAACGTCATTGAACAACTTTTTATCCAAGATTAATCAGATTTATGTTTTCGTGAATTTTATTACTCGTCTAAAAAACTCCACAAAATAACTTTTGGGAGGCTTTCCTAGATTACTCGAAAAAAAATACTTCATAGCTTATTTAAGTTTTACGAAGTACTAGAAATGATTACTTGCATGATTTTATAGCTCTTTTGACCACTTTCGAAAATTCCGAGACCCATTCTCCCCGGGAAGTGTGATGATATAGGCAAAAAATGTTACCTGCTTTGTGTTTTGGCCATTCGTCACGAGGAATTCGCACATCTTCATATTCTGCACCGGCAAGAGCAAAAATCTGAAAAGATGGAGGTAAGAAGGTTACGAAAAAACCTTGTAAAGGTCTATACCTGACGAATAACTTCCGCAGCTCCACGAGCCTCGAAATAGGTGAGTTTATACTGAACCATTTCTGCAAGTAGAGCTTAGCAAAAAAATACTTTGAAAAGCTTTAATAAAAGCTTTAATATGCTCAAAATGAAAACTGTAAGCATGAGTAACAAATATACGTAATTGCCACAAGACATAATAAATATTTGAAGAACTGGTCAGCTCCCTTGAACATGCCATGGCTCTCTCTGAACTGCCTTATCAGTGGGGCCAAACAGAGCGCTTCAGATAAGATTCAAGTTTGTGACTAATCGAAAATGTGCGATAAGGAAAAAGTAATGCTTACAACAGATAAGTGTTAATAATGAGTAGATAAAGTCGCCTCAAAGAAATCAACGGAGATTTTGATGGGAAGGTTCAAAGACATTTAATGGCGGTATGATTACATAAGTTTTACAGTATAATCTTCTCAACTCCCAAAGCACTCATAGTCTTTCTGAATGACTAAGCCAGTGTTTTGCAAATCTACAAAAAAGGAAGGACTCCTTTGTGAACGGCAACTGGTGCCGATAGAGGTGCTTCAACAATGTGACAAGTGATTCTCACTATAGACCAGAGTTCAAATCGCGTTGTCCGGCAACTTTTTGCATTCGCAACTGAATAATTCCTCGAATGAGTCACATACGAACGATACGTTTTGAAACCGACCAAGCAATTATTTTGCCCGTGTCTATGCAGCAGAGGAAACTTTCAAAATGAAAATTCTGGGCTAAACCAACTTGCTACGTTCAGTTTCATCACAAACTTCAGTGGCTGCTCTTCCACTTCTTTTTTCCTCTCTCCGGAAAAAGAAAAGTGCAGAAATACGAGTTCAAATGAAAACAAAAACTATTCGTTTTTGCGGGAAACAAAGTGATGATGACTCGTCCAAAAAATAACCAATTATGTTGCTCTTTCTGCTATTTAAGCAGTGATGTAGAGTATATTCAAAAGTGGCGGTTTTTCAGCTGATTTTTGACAAGATATGAATTTTACTCAGACCGTGAGTACCGAATCCCTGCTCCTACAGACCGAGGGTCTAAATCCGCTAGGGACAACTACCATGATTTCTTTATAGTTGAAAGATTCTTCGAAAAGCGAGCACAAAAATTCTCCAAATAATTTTTCTTTAAATAGGATAACATTTGCCCTCCTCTGTCCTGAATAATTAGAGGAGCTTTTGAGGGAAAAGTCTTTGGGTTACTTTGTCATCAGATCAAGGTCACTGTAAAGAATGTGGACCAAGTTTTAAAAAAGAAGCGCCTTGGAAATAGCGAAAGTTGAGTAAGAGTATAATTTTCAATAATCATGAATATGAAAGCAAAAAGTCTATTCAATAAAATTTCAAAAGAGCAGTTGACCTTGCTGAGTCGGGCAAAATTGTCGCGAGTGCTCTATATATCGCCGAGATAGCAATTATTTGTCAGCGCTTTCAGACCAAAGTTTGTCGCTCGCGAATTTTCTGCGCAGATAGCACACTACACATCGCTGTCGCAAAGCAAACACAGTACAGAATTAACGCGTTGTCATCATTTTTTGGCGTAGTGACCTTGCTTGATGACGTTGGTTCTGTGGGGGAATGAATCATTCGAATAATTATTCGAAATTTGACTCCCAATGTTCGAATGTAGTCGATATTCATTCATTCGATATTTTTGATTTTCCGATTTTATTCAGATTCATTCATTCGAGTTTTTTTTTCAATTTTCGAAGTTATTCAATATTCCTTTATTCGAAATTTTTCATTTTCGAATCTATTTAATATTCATTCATTCGATGAAAAATTTTGAATTTACCCAAGTATACAGGCAGGGGTACAGATCAAGAGGCTCGAATAAGTTCAAAGCAAAATTACGAATCTCTGAGGATTACCATGACGGGTACCAGCTGGCCTGCTCTTCAGAATCACCTTTTTATGAATTCCATAACTTTTGCTGTAAATCAGACCAAACTTTGGAACAGGTACCAGATGCGCTTCAGTGCATTTCGACTCCTTGAGTCCTACGTAGAATAGCTATATAAAGGTTCTATGAAATAAGGGACCCTCTGATGTCACCCAGGTTAGCAGCACTTATGAAACCTCCAGAGCTAAATACGCTGCATCTCCAACTTAGAGGTAATGACAGCCATAAATAGCGAATCAGAAGTTTTATTTTTAGGCAGGGCTCGCTCTACCTTCTCCATCTAGCTACTGATTACCTCAGATTCATATATTTGATATCTTTATTGATCAGATCATTCAGTGAGACAGCAAATAATCTAAAATGGTGTTTCTGGTCGAGTCTCAATCCATTTCTTGAGAGCAGGATTAGAGCGAACCTTCTCAGCATGTGCTTTGATCTGAGAATGGCCAATGTGCTCTTTTGCCAACGTGAACTCTAGATTGAGTCTTACCTCAGGATATCCCTCAAGAAGATTAGGAACCTTTTTCGACATTTCCGAGGAAAACTCAGCAAGGAGCAAATCGGGAATAGTAATTGAACTGCCGACGAGGTAACCTGGAAGTCCGAATTGTAGTAGAATTGGTTAAAGCTTGCTATAGCTCTTACCAGTATTGTTCTTTTTCAGGAATTTTGTCATGAAGCCAAAGAACTTATCGCGTCCTGGCAGCAACACTTCCTTGATGAGTTTGTCCTGAAAGATAAGGGTGATTTAGTAGCATGAATTTTTTTAGACCAATTTTATCCATAGTTGGGTTCTCTGCCAAGTTCGACCAAATCTATTTTATTCAAGTGTAGAGAAGGGGGTGTGAGGGGGATACATTCACTATATTTCTCCGTATAAAAAATGTCGAGGTATTTTGACAATACTTTTGCGTAGGAGATAGTCAGCCTTTTTTGCAGCGTTGAACAAAGGAGGTGAGCGAAATGAGAGCAGTTTGCTTGCAGTTTGTGAAATGCGTAAAGGACCTAATTCTTCACGGGACCTTTGTGGACTTATTCCATTCAGTTCAGGTTTCAGGCGCCATAACGTACATAATGTTAAATGGTAGACTTGGAAGGGGCTTTGAGAAACAGCGACAGGGAAATGAAATAAGAAAATAGATAAATGAAATTTTCAAGAAACTCATTTAGAGCCAAATAAATGCTTTTTTCAATTTAAAAGATGGGGGCAGCTAATATTTTCAAATTAGCTGAATATTTTGGGAAGCACATAAGAATGTGAAGTGGTTGCTTTCAGACTTTTTGAAAAATCAACCCCCCGCCCCCATTTACTTCTAAATCCTTCCTATCAACCTCTTCTTACCTTATCACCTTCAGCAAAGCCAAGCATCACCGTGAATGCCGGTCTGACTTCATTCTGGAAGTCTTTGAATTGATCCATAAGGGAATCGACCTGCGCTTCCTCGAACGGGCACTTGGGAGTAAGTCCTAAGTAGATACTTCAATTCGTTGGTAGAAAACCAGAAAATTAGCACAATGGAAAAAAATTGACTCACCAAACTTCTTAGCGAGGAAACGAGCGATGGCAAAGGACTGTGCGAGCTGTTGTCCATCAACTTCTAGCACTGGCATTTGGCCAAACGGCATTTCTGAAGTAGAATACACATGTATAGAATGGCATAGAATCTGATCTCAAAAGGGAAAAAGATGGTAGAATTGTGCAAGTAAATTTATCTCTAAGTAATAAAACACTCGTTCTGCAAAACTCGAAGTAAGAAGTTTTCTCTAGAATTCTTGGGCTCGCGTTGAAAAATCTTACCAAGTTCACCTGAGTTTCAGAATATCGAAAATTATTCAACTTCCAAATAAAGCAAACTTGCACGAATTTGCATTTAATTTTGACAGCTCGAAAATCTTGGGACCCATTTTTCAAAGAGCGGACCATAGGCAGAAATCTTACCTGATTTGTGCTTTGGCCATTCGTCACGAGGGATTCGTACGTCTTCATACTCCGCGCCAGCAAGGACAAAAATCTGAATAGTCGGAGTTAGAAAGATAACAAAATCCGTTATGGTAAGCCATACTTGACGGATGACCTCCGCTGGTCCACGCCCGTCGAAGTAGGTGAGTTTGTATTGAACCATTTCTGTAAGTTCAGACCAATAGAAGAAAAGAGTTCGAGGAGCTTTAATGAGTATAAGTCGATTCAAGCATGATCGACAGCATAAATTAGTCATCGAAAAAATTTAAGAAGTAATGGTTAGTCCCTTGAACATGCCATTGCTCTCTCTGAGATGTCTTATCGTTGGGGTCAGACAGAGCACTTTAGATAAGATTCAAATTTGTGACTGCACAAAAAGTGTGTGATAAGAAAAAAGTACTGTCTGCAACAAACAAGTCGTTAATCATGAGAAGATTAGCTCACCTTTTTAAAGAAGACATCGGAGATTTTGATGGGAAGGTTCGAACTTACTTACTGGCATTATAATTACATAAACTTTACAGTGAGGATTTTTTCTTAACGCCCAAAGTATTCGTAGTCTTTCTGAATGACTAAATAATGTTTTGCAGATTTCCAGAAAATGGAAAGACCCGTTTGTAAATGGCAACTGGGGCAGATGAAGGTGCTTCAACTTATGATAAAGGGTCCCCATTAAACCAAAGTTCAAGTCATGTTTCCCAAATCTTTGACTGACTCACATAGAAACGATGCGTAGTAGAGACCGAGAAAATGCTGAGTAAGCATATATACTACTCAGGGCTCGGCACGAGGTGGCTAGATGAAAATGGAAAAAACGAAGTCCCCCTTGACTTTTGGGAATTTTTACGAAGTCCCCTTTGACCCTCAACCAAATTTCCTCTAAAAACCTGAAAAATTCCCCAAAATCCCCCAAAAAACGAAACGTCGACTAAAAAAAAAGGTCGCCGTCGCCAATTTTCCGTGTCTCTTCGGTCACAAAAACGAAACCCCCTTTGCTTTTCGTCCCAAAAACGATACCCAGCTTGCTTGTAAGCCACCTCGTGCCGAGCCCTGATACTACTTACTTAAAAAAAGAAGACTGTTGGAAAAATGACGAATTGTTCCAGAGTTTTGGTTTTTTGCAGATTTGAACATTTGTGCTAAGTATATAGATTGAATTGGCTAGCTCAAGTAATAACTTGAGGTTCTGAAATGTTTCCTGCTTTGGCAATCTAGGAGTCCCATGAATCAAGGTTATTGGCGGGAAATAAATTTTATGCTTCAGCTAGTGTGGATATTAGCTGATCTCTGAATTCTGGATTAAATATTATAATTATCGGTAAATCGAGACGATTTCCACGACTTCATTTCGATTTTGAGACGCGTTCACAAATGTGGCCTTTCAAGAAACATTTCCTCTGTCCCATGTCCTTCGAATCCAAATAGATAATGCAGATTTCGAAAAAAAAAACTTCGGGTTATGATACCATCATATCGTCTAGATTATTGTAATTTAGGAACGGAAGGAAAAATCGCCATGGGAATGGTAAAGGTCAAGGAGGTAAGAGCACGAGCACGAAATGAGGCAAAAAATAGTTCAAAGAGCAGTTGACCTTGCTGACGCGGGCAAATTGTCGCGAGTGCTCTATATACCGCCGAGATAGCAATTATTTGTCAGCGCTTTCAGACCAAAGTCTGTGGGTCGCGAATTTTCTGCGCACATAGCACATCACACATCGCTGTCGCAAAGCAAACACAGTACAGAATTAGAGCGTTGTCATCAGTTTTAGCGTAGTGACCTTGCGTGATGACGTTTGTTTCTATGAAGAGGCAAAAATCTAAGAAGGAATTGTCTTTGAAGATTTGCTGACATTTCAATCTTACTACGTTGATAACCGACAATTGGTGAATTGCTGGTTTTCTCTAACTCTGCCGGAAAATTTCAAGATTTTGCCTTCTTTTCTTACGATTGCCGGAATGACGTTTGAAAATTCACTCTTAGAGGGGGGGGGAGGTGTGACCCACACCATGTTTTCATACTATCTCAAAGAAGAGCGTACAGTATGGAAGGTCGACGCCCTAAGATGATCGTAACCTGGAAGGTTTTGTAAAGCAAGCTTAGTTTGCGATGTTATCTCCAGCTGGTTGTAACTGCCAGCCTACAGGGAACCCGCTAGTGAAAATTTTTTTGAACTATTACAGGAAGCACTGCAAGCTGATGTGGATTTAACATAATCCTCGAGGCAATATTCTGTAAAGATCACGAAAGCAGGGCACGGGTGGTGTTATAGCTCCTCAGGGTCAAATCCACCAGCCATAGAAAAGTTAAGAGTAAGTTGCATGGGCATTATATCGTCCTCAGCGTAAGAATACATGCTCCATTCTTGCATCTCGCTCTTTCGAGGGGATTCCAAAAATTATTTAGTACTCATAAAATGCACCTTTGCACGGAAATCTTTAGTAAAAGGCGAAAGATTTTCTCGGTTAAATGCAAAGGAGCCAGAGATACCAAGAGCTTCTCTACTGTGAGGGTCACCTGCGCTGCGTCGTACACCTCTCAGGTGAGCGTTGCTAATGTACCTCGACGGAGGGGGGGGGGAGGGTGGGAGGAGGGAATAGGTTCAGTCAAGTTCTTGAGCGAATAATTTTGTAGAACAGATACGGCTTATCTCGAAGACTTGAAAGGCAAGAATAAGCAGTGCAAGTTTTTGCAAAAACGTTAGTCTTGCTCATTATATCGTTTCACTACGAAGTAAATTGAATCCATTTACATTTGTGCGGAAATTTAGCACTATGTATTGTTCCTCCCAGTTAACTGGCACTGGTGCAAAATCAATGAATTCCGAAGTCAAAAAAGAAGAAGGATTGACAGAAATTTTCAATATCATAATCCATCATAAACAGAATTTCAGTAATCGAGGAACAAGTTTAGTTTTTTTTACAACGCGCGATTTTATTGAAGTAAATTTGGTCAGTATCGTAACGATATAAGCTTAACCGTGATCCTGACATTCCGAAACGATTCGCAGAAAATGATACAAGGTCGTGTGAAATTTACTGATAAGCTTGATTTTGGATCTATTACCCATTTCTTCTAATAGCAAGAAGGTATAACATGACCACATAGACTATAGCAAAATATTTATAACATATGTAAATAAAAGCGCTTCCCAAACATTTCGATGACGGATTATGCAGATGCTCGTGCAAGACTTTTCTTCAAGCTAAGATAGATGTTCTAGTGTGAAAGTTTTATAATTCTTGGTTATAAACTTGGATGACGAACCCACGCTAAAACGCCCTCCTCAACCGCTCTCCTTTGAGGTACGCTGACATCGCCTACCTGAGTGGTGTAGTGTACGGCGCAGGACGGGGCCCCCGGTGACACTTAGAACCCCCTTATCTCTGGCTCCTTTGCATTTAACCGAGAAAATCTTTCGCCTTTTACTAAAGATTTCCAAAGGTGCATTTTATGAGTAATGGATAATTTTTGGAATCCCCTCGAAAGAGCGGGATGCAAGGCTGAAATAAATGGTTAACGAAAGGATTGTCAATAATCAGCGGAAAGCAAGTAACTTACACCATCAATAAAAAAGACAAATGCATAGTGATAAGTTAAATTGAATGGACTGAAAGTACATATACAAGAACGGGAAGTTAGGAATTCATAACTGTTAACTAGTTATGTTATTTGTAGTCAGTTATTAATGAAATTCTGCAAAACACGACTGCAAATTTCTCTTTTACACCCCTGTCAGAGATATCTTCAAAAGAAAGTGTCATTCATCTGTTCTTTGAAGTTAATGTTGTAATTTCCACACCAATTTTACAGCAATTTATCTCTTCCAGAGTTTGAGCGTGAACAACGCCTTGATCAAATATGTGGTAGCTTAACGCAAAATTGGGCGTTTTTGATCGCACTTTATGCTCCTAGAATTCTATTCATTTGATAGTTTCATCATTGGCACAGTTGAGCTGATGAGTCACAGCCCTTTTCCAAGTGAACGATTCGAATTCGCCGTAAGAAGATCATCAGATGCCTAGATTCGCGTTCTTCAAAAATACTTCGGCCCCTTTTTTATTAGCAAACTTCAAAAGCTTCAAATGGTTCGAAAGAAGAAAAAGAAACGCTTATCACTGCTTGAAATTGCAGGCATCTGCCATTTTTCGTAAGCCACAATTTTCGCATTAGCTGAAGATGCTGATAGAAATTGAAGTCTCCCCTCAAAGCAACATGATGTATACGTTCAAGATTTTTTTAACGGTTTGACAATTTGGATGATACATGGTGTCCAACATAATGTAACGAACGTTTAATCTTCGTTAACTCTATTATGAAAAGCATTGAAATCTCGTGATTCAGACACCGAGCGATTAACGGTTCGCTTTTCATTATATTCGTTATTGTAAGATTATGGTAGAATTTCTAGTATACAGCACCATTGTAGATAAGCAGCCGTTCGAAAGAAATTTTAAATCTGGAAGTTAGAGTTAGTGTACCACGCTTAGAAGTCGCGTTTTGCAGAAATTCATTAATATTTGACCACAGATAACATAACCAATCAATGATAACGAATTTCTGACTCTTTCTTTCCAGATCCTTTTAGTCCTTCATTTCATCTACTATGCATTTTTCGTTTCTTGATAGTGTAACTTACTTCTCCGATAATTGTGAAGATCCTTCCGTTGACACTTTGCTTCGGTCTTGCATCCCGCTCTTTCGAGGGGATTCCAAAAATTATTCAATACTCATAAAATGCACCTTTGCACGGAAATCTTTAGTAAAAGGCGAAAGATTTTCTCGATTAAATGCAAAGGAGCCAGAGATACCGCGATTGTGATTGTCACCGGGGGTCCCCGCCCTGCACCGTACACCTCTCAGGTAGGCGAGGTCAGGTACCTCAAAGGAGAGCATTGGTCGAGGAGAGCGTTTTAGCGTGAGTTTCCGTCGGAGTTTATAACTGAAAATGCAAAGTTTACACTGGAATGTATATACTAACTTGAAGAAAAGTCGTGCATCAAAAATTTGAAACATTCGTTTTTGAAATGTTTGAGGAATGTTATATGCTCCGAATTCCCTCCATGTTCAACTGATCCAATTGTAATAATATAATTTGGAAGGCGAAAACCCTACTCTCTCTGTATCTTTGTAGAGCAAGAATTCTCATTGTCATATCGCGGCAACAAAACATGATACTTTCTCATTATTAGTTAGAAAAAGTTAGTCATATTATT